GATTTTATATTCCTCAATGTTGCCTGCATGTAACAACTCACAACTCCGGTATTTTTAGCTAAAATTTTCTCGCTCTCTCTCTCTCTATTACCATAAATCTGTCTGAGTTGACGAAATATATTTCTATCTATCTATCTATAAATCTATCTATGTACATGCATAAATGTGGATAGATGTATCTATATGCGTACATGTATCATTCATTATTCGTGTGTATCATGGCTGTATGATGATAGCACAGATGATAATAAGCTTGCTCAAACGTGTTTCTTCAAGTTTACAAGAAATATATATATATATATATATATATATATATATATATATACATCTATATATATAGTCAGTTTAGTTGTTTGTCACTACAGCAAGTAAGCTAAAGCATCAATTTGAATAGGAAAGAAAATCCATGTTACTAAATAGTAATAATAATAATAATAATAATAATACGAACATTGATCACAGTGAATTCTCTGTCTCTTTCCTCACTCACTCACTCTCTCTCCTAGTTGTATTTTTTTTCTTTGTCTGTTCGTCTACTTTTTCCTGTGTTGTTCTACTTTGTTCTTCTTCTACGGTAGGTAGACATTCTCGGTGATATAATATTTATTAATTAGTCTCGTTAAATCTGTTTTTTCCAAATGAATAATGTTTGGAAAAAACAGGTTTTTTTTTCTGACACAACTACTACTGATTATTATGAATTAGTAGTATTGAAATGGAATAAATCAGTTAGTCAGTTTAACAAAATACAACGTAGAACTTCGTACGTACGTACGTATGTACGTACCACATTATCACACAAATTGAATTGTCAATTCAAATCCCTTAGTAGTAGAAGTATCAGCGGTTATCAAAAAGATTAAGGATAAAGGATTTCATTCGACAATATACGTCATGAGAAATGCAGAAGATTAGAAGTTGAGTGAACACTAAGAGTGGATGGATTCACGTGTGCCATTGCAAACGATTTTGAGCCATGTCGTTCAAGATCTCTGACGATCGGTTTCTATTTTTATTGTCTCTCAGACAACAACCAGTTAGTCTACATGATTCAGTGCAGTTTTGAGTGGCTTCATGGAATTTGTGCCATTTTTTTTGGTCTGACCATAATAATGAGATCATCGTTATTCAAGTGTTAATATGAATAGTTTGCTCTGATTTATCACTGGCAACTAGTCTGCATCACCAACATGATTTAGACCAATAGTTAGTGACGTCATGGACTAACCCCATTTCATGGTTTGACGAACCGTAACTTATTGCTACTCTGTGGAAAATACTATATCTATGTGTGTGAGATGGTTGAGCATACGCTACAATTCACACAATTTAACAAAAACCGATTAAGCCTTTTTTATATGCATCAAACACTAGAGTGTTAGAATTGATGAGATTCTGAAATGAATCCGGTTGGTACACTTAACTTAAACAAATTCTGAAGCAGTTATTTTTCATTTGATTGACTAGAAGTGTATTCCAAATATACGAACATCGTTATGGCGGAGTTTCTCTTTCTCTGAGTTGAATGTTTGGGTTATGGAGCTTTCATTGTTCTTTTTAACAACGACATCAGCATAAAAATCAGATAGAAGAAGTAAAGTGTTCAAATATAGGATTCTGTAGGTTCAAGAAACAGATCAAAGGAGAGGATACAATCAAAATAAATAGGCAGACAATGACAGGTTAAAGGTCAATAAAATCCAATGAAGGTTAAGGTCATCAGGACAAGCTATGAGTCATACATGGTAAAATTTGAATGCATCACTTGTTCTCTCTGAAGTTTTTGCTGATAATGTTGTTCTTGAGAAGAACAATGAAATCTCCACACTCGAAACATTCAGCTGAAAGAACGAAACACCACCATAATGATGTTAGTATATTTGGAAAAATATCTGGAACTCCAAACAACTTTCAACCAAAACCAAAATAAGGATTTTCAATACAAATGTGAAGACAGTTCTACTGTATGGAGCGGAAACATGGAGAACTACCAAAGCCATCCTTCAGAAGATACAAGTGTTTATTAACAGCTGTCTACACAAAATACTTCGTATTCGTTGGTCAGACACCATCAGCAACAACGTACTGTGGGAGAGAACAAGTGAGATTCCATTGGAGGAGGAAATCAGGAAGAAGCGGTGGAAGGTGATAGGACACACACTACGAAAAGCACCTATCTGCGTCACGAGAGAAGCCCTCACATGGAGCCCTCAAGGCAAAAGGAAAAGAGGAAGGCTAAGGAACACATTACGCCGAGAAATAGAGAGAGATATGAGAGGAATGAACAAACATTGGACAGAACTGGAGAGGGAAGCCCAGGACAGAGTTGGTTGGAGAAAACTGGTGGTTGGCCTATGCTCGATTGGGGGTAACAGGCGTAATTAAGTAAGTAAGTAATATTTGGAATACACTTCTAGCCATCCATCTGAGCTACAAATTTTCTCCACTAGCATTGTTACATAAGATGGACAAAAAATTGGATATAGTCAGCACCTTCACCACACCGACCCTTTCCATCCACAAACTTTAAGTGATGTATGACATGGCTCAAAATCGTTCGCAATGGCGCCGGTGCATTCAATCGTGCTCTCTCAAATCCTAATCTTCTGGATTCTTTAACACCTCTCATTGAATCATACTTCTAGAATAATATCTTCTAATCCTAACCTCTCCGATTACTTTTAATACCTTTACTACCTCTTCTACTACTATTGGATTTGAATTGACAATTACATTTCTGTGCTGATAATGTGGTATGGCAACATGAACTGATGTACTTACGTACGAAGTTCTACGTTGCATCTGACTGGCTGACTGACTGACTTTAAGCGATGTCAGAAATTCGCCTTAATTCGTAGCAAAACGTTCATATTTTTGAATATTACTTACTGACAACTGTTGGAGCAGAGGTCGTCGACCAGTATTCTCCATTCTACGCTATCCTGAGCTTTTCTCCAATTGTTCTTCATTCTTCTCATATCTGTCTTCATTTCTCAGTGTGATGTGTTTTTTGATCTTCCCCCTTTTTTGACCTTGAAGTTCTATAATTTTTAATTACACTTCAAATAATAATAATAATAATACTAATAGTAGGTCAGAGTGCTTTTCCAATTCACATATGCTTATGACAATCATGAACTGTGTATCAATAATCAACAATGATGTTTGTTGTTCTTGCCTTGTTAATGATAACAATTATATTCAAGTATATCGTCTTAGTCAAGGTTATTTTTTTTGTTTTTACAGATCAATAATGGAAACAAACAGTTTTTGCCTAATTTTATCAATGAAATTAATGAATTTTGTCAAAACCAATTCATTCTTGTGATTTTGTTTTGTTGTGTTTTCTCGAAGTTAAACTACTGAAATGTTGTTGCTTTTTTGTTGTTGAGGAAAATTGGCATTTATGTTGTGTGAATTGTTAATCTTTTATTTATTATTCGTCAATTTTGTAAAAAAAACAATTTGAATTGATGTAAAAATTGTTATGAGTTGGCTTATATTGTCAGTCTGTCTGTCTGTCTGTCAATCAGTCAGTCAGTCAGTCAATCAGTCTGTCTGTCCGTTAGTCAGTACGTAAGTAAGTAACGATGTAGAACTTGGTACTTGGTACGTACTTCAGTTAAAGTCGCTGTTACCTTATAAGCAAGCACATAGAGAAAGATGGAATTATCACGATTAGTAGTAATCGAAGAGTCATTCGAGAAGTTATAATCCAGTGAAATAAATTTAAAAAGATGAAGAAATGGTAGTGATGAGGAATTTTAGGGCGCACAAAGAATGAATGCATCTGCACCATTGCGAACGAGCTATGTCATTCAAAGTGTTTAACCATTGGTTACTATTGTCTTGCGGACCTCAACCTACTAACATGACACAGTCCAGTTGTCAGTGACCTGATAGATTTGTGCTGTGCTTTGATTTGGCCATTTCTAACTTTTTTCTCAGTCAGTCAGTCAGTCCACAACAACATGGGATTTCTTACGTACGTACGTATATCAGTTCAAGTTGCCATACTACATTAGTACAGTGATGCGATTCTCACTTCAAATCCCATAGTTGTAGAGGTAGTAGAAGTAATCGGAGAGATTAGGGTTTGAAGATATTATTCACGAAGTAGAATTTATTGAAACAAACTTAGAAAGAAAAAGACAGGTGATTACAAACTCCGAAGTTTAGGATTTGATAGGACACAAAGAATGGATGCACCTGTGCCATTGCAAACGTTTTTGAGCCATGTCATTCAGGATCTCTAACCATCAATTACTATCATCTCCCAGTCCCCAACCAGGTAGTCTACATATACCAACATGTCACTGTCCGGTGGACACTGACCTAATGGGTTTGTGCTGTACCTCAGTTTGGCCGTCTCTAAATTTTTTTCTAGCATACTCCTACATCAGACAACACCGCCCGCCAAAGTCAATCAGTCAGTTATAACGTAGAACTTCGTACATGAGTTCATAAGTTCAAGTCGCCATACCGCATCAGCACAGAGACGCAACTGTCAGTTCAAATTCCATAGTGTTAGAAATAGTAGAAATATTAGAGGTAATGGAGAAGACTAAGGTGCATTCATTCTTTGTGTTCACTCGAGCTTTTAATCCTCTGAATTATTCATCACCTTCATATTCTTCTTATCTCTCTATGTGCTAGTGTGGTATGGTAACCTGGACTGATCTACGTACGTATGTACGTACGAAGTTCTACGTTGTAACTGACCTACTGACTGACTTCATGTATATTGTTATTTACCCATTTTTGTTCCTTGCTTTGTTAATTCTCTATCTTACTGATTGTGTTTTTGGGTGGGTGAGGTTTGGTGCATCCTATCGAGATATCGATTCATAAGAGAACGCACACAACATATTTGTCTCGTGCTATTGTAGTATGACAGCTTGAACTGATATACGTACATTGTAATTGACTGACTGATATATATATATATGTTGCATCGGCATACTTATTTAATTCATCTGTGAAATTTTATCTTTCCACAGAAGATCGTAAACTATTTATTGGTATGTTGGGTAAACATCAAACTGAAGAGGACATAAAAAATTTATTTTCACCATTTGGACTTATTGAAGAATGTACCATTCTACGTGATCAAAATGGTTTGAGTAAAGGTATGTCTTGTTTTATTATTACATAGTTTAATTATACAGACAGAAAATCGTTAAGCTATATATGTTACGTTTGTTTGCCAAGCCGCCATCTACATCCATGAAAAATGTTGTCTAATGTAGGTTGGAAGCATTCACTCCACCCTACCCCCCATGCCATGACCACCTTCAATGCCACCATCGACTTCCATAGGCGGAGTTGTCTAATGTAGGTTGGGAGAATGCTAGTATACAGCCTAACCAAAAGTAGAGAACTCAAAGCCATGAAGTCATTGACAATTGGATTGAGCTATGTTAATAGGTAATCATTGAAAATTGTAACCGGTGTTTAAAGACTTTGCATAATATAGTTTAAAATTGTTTGGAATAGTACAAGAACACCCATGGCACCCGCCTCATACTATGACTACCTCTTGACAGTTTCATCAGGAGTAGGGAAGTAGGAGTTGGTAGGTTGGAAGAAAGCTAGGCGCGACCAGACCAAAACATGACAGGAATCCATGAAGTCACTAACAAGTGAACTGAGTCATGTCGGTAGATGTAGGCTACGTGGTTGTGGTCTGTGAGACGAAAGTCACCAATGGTTAGAGACCTTGAATGACATGGCTCAGAATCGTTTGCAATGGCGCAGGTGCATCCACTCTTTGTGTTCTCTCTCTATGTCTAACCTTTTGAATTCCTCATCATCTCCATTTTTCTCCTTCTAAATTTATCTCACTGAATTATACTTATCGAATCAGTCAGTTGCAACGTAGAACTTCGAATCATATCTTCGAACTATAATCTTCTCTAATACTGCTAATACTTCTAATATGGCTATCTTTCTTGGATTTCAACTGACAGTTGCGTCTCTGTGCTGATGGGGTATGGCATCCTGAACTGATGTACTTACGTACAAAGTTCTGCACAAGAACACCCACAGCTGCCTCATACTATGACTACCTCTTGACAGTTTCATCTCCCTATGAAAATAGGGCATAGTAGCTTGGAAAATGTACGTACGTTGCAATTAACATCCTTTCATGATCAACTATTTTATTTACTTTAATTAGTGAAATTTAGATGGTGCTTAAACTGAAGAAGTTGGTTTCCTTAAGAGCCAACTTCTCGAGTTTTCTGAACTAAAACGTATTGGAGGAAAGTCAGGAGTCAGCAGTTCAAATGGCAGTCAGTGATCAACACTAGCTTCATATGCTATTCTTTCTTTTGCGATCATAGAACCCAATGTGAACCATTGGTTTGTGACGGTGGTTTTTCTATTCCTTTGAGTGGTTGATTCTATGTGTACCTCCTAACCCGGCTGAAACCGTAAACGAACTATCATCCTCTCAGTTTCTTAAACATCGATCGTGTGGTTACTGAGATTTCCTTGTCAGTGGTTACGTATACCTGACCATATGAGAGCATTTTGAGAAAGTGAACTCTACCCGATTTCTTCATTCGGGGACTAAAACGTACCCCTCCGCCACCTGTTTATTGTTTTCTAACAATCTATTCCCGTTTACTTTCCATTTGTGTTTTATTCTCTTACTGTTCTTTTACTCTTATCGGATTGTTAAATGTTATTATTTTTAGGCTGCGCTTTTGTTAAATACTCATCGAGTACAGAAGCAGCGAATGCTATCGATCATATGCATAACAGTCAGACAATGCAGGTAAATTTTGTGTATTCATGTATATATATAAATAGTTTTTTGTATTAGGGTTTTCACCGAATAGAATTCTTCTTTTTCGTAATGTATCAAATGTGTAATCAAAATTTATATTGTGCTTTATTCAATATTCAATAGTGTGTGTTTGTTGTTTACGGTTGGCAGTTGTTCCATTCCAATCTCTGCTGCTTAAACACATTAACGTATATCGGATTGTGTTATGCTCGTCAATTGATATACGAGTTCACCGTAGTCGGTAAACGGTAGCGAACACAAATGATCCAGTGAAACGATAGGCTTTTCTAATCCATTTGTCCCTGGCCCGGTTAATTATATCGAGAATTCTTGATATGACGTAGAAAGAGTATTCTACAAGCACCCAGAAATTATGAGGTCCACAAGCATACAAATGGAGTTTATTTATACATCACAGAAACGCCCTTGGGAGAGCCACAAAATAGCGTACTAAAATAGTCCACCATCCAATGACAGTCAAGGATTATCCGGGCGGGAAATTCAACCTCAAGGTCAACTGATCAGCTCATATGTGAAAGCATAAAATCATAAATTAGGACCTTTATTATGTGAATTCTGGGGATATAACATCTCGAACAGATTGGAGATTCATTAATCAGTCTTTCAAAGCTTTCGAAACTCATTCTGAATATGGGTATGACTAGCTTTCTCATGTTTGTGCATACCCACTCACACACACATGTAAGCCATGTAGTTCAGAGCTGAGTACTGAAGCTTTTTGCATGTTAGATTATTTAACGTAAAGCAATAATAATAATAATAAATTATCAGTCAGTATAAAAATGTGGAGATAATTGAGTTTCCGTGAAATTTCAACAAAATCGTTCAATATTAGACCATTATCTAAATTTTTCTATACTGACAGCTATCATATGCTCACTGGTGACTAGCTTCGTGAGTTGATTCTCGGTCTTCTAATGAGAAGCCTTGTTCAGTGCAGTTAAATCGTATCGAATGTGAATTGTTTGCACCGATTGAAGACAATGGCTAATGGTCGCGTGATATCGTAGATTGATTGAAGTTGGACATAAACACCAATGGTTCCCAGTTTAGTTTTCATACGAGCTAGTAATGCCCTTCCACTGCTTCCAGGATTTTAATGGTGATCTATCAATGATCGATTCAATATTTCAATGAAACTTAACAATCTGCATAACTCAATAATGAAAAAAAAATTGTTCACTTAACAGAATGCACAAACAATTTCACGTCATCATTTAGATACCAGAAAAAATTACTATTAAGCAGAATGCATCACAAAATGCTCTCTGTATTGGGAGTATCATCAGTGCTGATAGCCTGATATCTGACGAAATCTCAGGACGGATGTAGAAGACTCGACTGGCTTTTGTCAACCTGCATAAGTGAGATATCCGTTTGCTGACCACAGGATGAGCTTTCTGCACAGTAGTTCACTCCGTTCTACCATATGAGTGTAAGACATGGCCAGTAAGAGTTGGGGATATTCGTAGGCTATTAGTATTCCTTCGTAGGTGTCTTCGAATCGTTATTTGTATATCCTGTCTTTAGGAAAAGGGTAATAGTTAGGGATGGCAGACCAATATGTGAGGTAGCGAATGTTCATCAATTAAGGTGGTTGCGACATGTGTTACGAATTCGCAGCCGTCAACTGCCTTGGCGAGTAATGGTGACTAGTGTACTGGTGGCAGGTTAAAGAAAGCTAGGGGCGGCTAGATCAAAACATGGTACAAATCCATGAAGTCATTCACAACTGCTCTGAGCCATGTTGATAGATGTAGTCTATGTGGTCAAGGCACGCGAGACGAAAGTAACCGATGGTTAGAGACGTTGAACAACATGGCTCGAAATCGTTTGCAATGGTGCAAATGCTTTCATTCTTTGTCTTTTCAAATTCTAATCTTCTGAATCACTTATAACCTTTCCTCTTTCTCTTCTCATATTTATTTCGCTGGACTCTACTCCTTGAATAGTATCTTCGAATTCTAATCTTTTCGATTACACCTAATACTACTACTACTACGTCTACTACTGTGGGATTTGAATTGATAATTCAATCTCTGTGTACTACGTTGTTGTCGACTGACTAACTGACTGACTGTCTAGATATACAATGTTCAATCTTAATTTTTGATGACTTCAATTAAAAATACATAGAATGGTGTTATCAATGCACATTTACTAATCAATATATATATATATATATATATATATATATATAATATCTCTCTCTCTGTCTAAAGTATGAAATGGTAATTTTCGATTACATCATAAAACGTGTTGAATGCTGCATTCATTCATTGGTATAGATAGTCATTATCAAACGATATGCTAAAAATCAATAATCGTTTCAATTCACTACGGTCGAAATGACGAAACCTCGAAACGTTTGATTTCTATTCTCAAACAAAATGTCCGATTTAAATTGATCGATTTAGTCATCACAAAACTTTTTCTGACCTAGTCTATTGTTTACTTTGTGTGTGTGTGTGTGTGTGTGTGTGTGTGTGTGCGATCAGTTTTGATGTAATGGTTGCTTATCAATGAAAAATCAATAGTATTTTTTTTTGCATTCAATCGTGTCATCACCATTAATTATATTGTTATTATCACTCAGATTAACTGACCTTATTCGATAAGTTAGTTATATATGGTGGAATTAGCAGATTGAATGTGTTTGTTTTGATGTATACTATATGATATGATCAGTGTAAGTCATCATCTCATGGGATATGTATACCCTTTCTCTAAAACTTGGTCATTCTGTCTGTGTTTAAAATAAAGGCGTTGAATATGTTCGAAGCATTGTTTGTGAATCGTAGGACAACCGAGTAAGCAATGCTGTAGTTAGGAAACCTGTGCTGTGTAAGGATGGCAGATGAAATAGTGAAACTTCATCAGTGTTGAGGTGGTTCGGACATGTGTTGCGTATGCCTAACCACACCGACTGCCTCGACGAGCTATATTTTGTGGTGTAGGAATAGGTTGGATGAAAGCTAGGATCGGTTAGACCAAAACATGCCAGAAATGCATGAAGTCACTGACAGGTGGACTGAGTCATGTCGGTAGGTGTCAACTACTTGGTTGGGGTCCGCGAGATGATAATAATCAATGATTAGAGACCTTAAATGGCATAGTTCAAAGTCGTTTGCGATGCGCAGATGCATCCAGTCTTTCTGTACTCTGAAAGTAAGCAATGCTGTCGTTAGGAAACGAGTACTAGGCAAGGATGGCAGATCAATAGATGAAGTGGTGAAACTTCATCAGTTGAGGTGGTTGGGACATGTGTTACGTATGCCTAACCACCGACTGCCTCGACGAACTTTGTTTTGTAGTAAAGGAGTAGGTTGGAAGAAAGTTAGGGGCGGCCAAATCAAAACATGGCAGAAATCCATGAAGTCATTGACGAGTGGACTGAGCCATGTCGGTAATTGTCGACTACCTGGTTAAGGTCCGCGAGATGATAATCGATGGTTAGAGACCTTGAATGACATGGCTCAAAATCGTTCGCAATGGCGCCGGTGCATTTATTCTTTGTGTTCTCTCAAATTCTAATCTTCTGGATTCTTCAACACCTCTAGTTTCGACTCTCTAAACTTTTCTCACTGAATCATACTTCTAACCCTAACCTCTCCGATTACTTCTAATTCCCTTACTACCTCTACTACTATTGGATTTGAGTTGACAATTATATCTGTGTGCTGATGTGGTATGGCAACATGAACTGATGTACTTACGTACGAAGTTCTACGTTGCATCTGACTGACTGACTGTACTCTGAAATTCGAAATTTTCTGCATTTTTTCTATGATCAGTGTAAGTCATCCTCTCATGGGACATGAGCACTTTCTCTAAAACTTGGACATTCTGTCTCTGTTCAAAATAAGTCGTTGAATATGTATGCAATTCTTTTAGCTTACAAATTAACAATTAGCCAGTTTTTTTTATCTAGACACATAAACTTTGGCACACATTATGGAATTTGTGTGAGTGGGCTAGGATACTGTTTAGGTGTCCAAACTGATGAAACAGGTGACTTACTTTGGATGCCTCTAATACCTGAACATTTGACCAACAAATATCCTTCACCAATCAGCAGGTCTACATAAGGTCTACATGTGGCTGGTCAGTCAGCAGTAGGCTCATATGCTATCCATTCAGTCAGGATCATGGAGTCTATGTGTACGATTGGTTTCGCAACCATGGATTTCGCATTCCCAACCCAATTTGAGCCGTGATTTAACATTCACTACTTTTTTTCTCTCATTTCGGTAGTGAGTAGTAGAGTAGGACTCGCTTGTTAGTGGTGGTGGTTGTATGCATATGGTCATATGAGAACATTTACGTGAGAATAGAAATTCTGATCGATACAATGCAGTGGTAGTGTAGTGAACGAGAACACAGGTGGGGCAACCGGATTGTATTTAATGAAAATTACAGAGTTACTCAGTAATAAAATCGGAAAACCATATCGTAAATCGTTAATTTGCAAAATATCAGTTTATCATATCGAACTAGACTGTTCCTGTTGCAAAACATTAATCCATTGTCACTATTCATGCGTTTCATACACAAATTCCATTGTTTTCTAACTCTTCCTCCTTTCTTGATCTTTCCCCCCATCTTCTGCTACCAGACATTACGTTGACACTCACGTCATATACTACTTATAAGTAGCTCGCACCACAGTAGTATGCCTAAGATGTTTAATCGACTTTTTGTTCTCCTCTTTTAAGATGATGATTATCTCGGTCAGCTTGTTTTTGATTGTGTCATTTGAATTTGTTAATTATAGGTTCTCTTTTTTTCTTTCTTGATTTTATATTTTTATTTTATTTCCGGTTTATATTAATCACTATTATTATTATTATTGTTTTTTCGTTCAGGGTGCATCTTCTCCATTAGTTGTAAAATTTGCCGATACAGAGAAAGAACGTCAAGTTCGTAGACAACATCAACAGAACACAACCAATGGATCATGTTCTCCAGCATCGGGACATTCAACTAGTACAGGATTAATGACTAATGGTCATATGAATGGATCCATACAACAACAGTATAATCAACAACAACAACAGCAACAACAACACCAATCTCTTCGTAATCCAATGATGAGTAGTAACAATATGACCGAGGCGTCGAATATGGCTGCGGCGGCTGCAGCGGCCGCTGCTGCTGCTGCAGCATTTCAACAATCACTAATTTCACCTAGTGTTGTTACACCGGGTTATTTACAATTTCCAGTAAGTAAACAGCTTTTTGATGATTTAAGCGAAAAAAATGTAGACAGTTTTACTTCAGCCAGTCAACAACAACAACGTTGGAGTATGTATGTATGTATGTACATCAGTCAGTCAATCCACAAGTTCTCACATACAAGATTAGTTCAGAGAGAGAGAGAGAGTGATGAAATAGTCAATTCAAATCCCATAATGATATACAGATAGTAGATGTATATCGTGGGACATCCGAGTGAACAACGCTGTTATTAGGAATCGGGTACTAGGTAAGAATGGCAGATCAATAGATGAAGTGCTGAAACTTCATCAATTTGAGGTGGTTGGGACATGTGTTGCGTATGCCTAACCACCGACTGCCTCGACAAGCTTTGTTTTGTAGTGTAGGAGTAGGTTGGAAGAAAGCTAGGGGCGGCCAAACCAAAACATGGCACAAATCCATGAAGTCATTGACGAGTGGACTGAGCCATGTCGGTAGTTGTCCACTACATGGTTGGGGTCCCCGAGATGTTAGTAGTCGATGGTTAGAGACTCTGAATGACATGGCTCATAATCCTTCGCAATGGCGCCGGTGCATTTATTCTTTGTGTTCTCTCAAATCCTAATCTTCTGAATTGTTCAACCCCTCTAGTTTTGACTTTGTAAACTTTTCTCATTGAATCATACTTCTTGAATAATATCTTCTAATCCTAACCTCTCCAATTACTCCTAATACCTTTACTACCTCTTCTACTATTGGATTTGAATTGACAATTACATCTCTGTGCTGATGTGGTGTGGCAACATGAACTGATGTACTTACGTGCAAAGTTCTACATTGCATCTGACTGACTGACTGACTGAGTAGAAGTATTAGCAGTAATTGAAAAGATTAGGGTTCCCAAAAAAGTATTGTTCAAGAAGTATAATGTAGTGAGATAGAGTTAACAAGAGAAAGATAAAAAAAACGAGAGACAGGTTTTTATTTGCTAAACAAGTAAATTACTGATTGCCTTATTTCATTTATCCTCTTACTAACACTCCGTTTCATACTATACTTAGAAACCAAGTTGCGAGTAGTATCCATCTCAGCAAGGCGAAATTCGACCTGTCCATTCTGGGAACTGGATTTCTGTTTAATAATGTGTATGCTAGGATGTTTAATGTAAGAGAAGGTTGGGAGAAAGCTTAAGGGCGGTCAAACCAAACATGGCACAAATCCATAAAGTCAATGACAACTGGTTTGATGAGTGATGTTACAAGGTGCAAACTACCTTGTTTGAGTCCGTAAAACAATAATAATAATAATAACCGATGGCTAGAGACCTTGAATAACGTGGCTCATGATCGTTTTCAATAGGTAAGGTGCATCCATTATTTGTCTTCTCTCAAATTCCAGTCTTTTGAATTGCTCATCATCTCTATCTTTCTCTTATCAAACTTATTTCACTGGATTATTATACTTGTTGAATAATATCTTTAAACCCTATTCTCTCCGGTTACTGCTCTAATACTTTCACTACCTCTACAACTATGCTGACTCGAATTGACAATTGCGTCTTTGTGCTAATGCTGTTGGTATGTCAACCTGAACTGGTGTATATAAATGAAAAGTGAGAAGACTGAGGCAGACGTGGAAGATTGTATTAAGCAAATTTACACTCTTGGTCAATCAAAAAAGAAAACATTACATTGAACAGCACTCTATTTGCACACCATCTTTGAGTCGTGACTTCCAACGTTCCATCCTTCTTCCATTCCTGTTGTTGCTTCCTTTCCTTCCTGTTGGTACTCCATTTACTTCTTGTTGATTTTGCTCCATTCGCTTTCCGTTTTCCTCTTGTGACCGTGCGACTTCTTCTTCTTCTTTCACATCCCTTCTTATACTACTTATATCGTTCGTATAAGTAGCACACACCAAACTGACTGACTGCTAGCCTACTACTTTGAGAAAGATCGTTGCCAGTAGTACTCATTAATATATTATTATTATTATTATTATTATTATTATTATTATTATGAAGTTGAATATTATAATGTTTTCTATATTCATTTTTGGGGGCATTTTTATTCAGCCTGGTTTAATTCCTACCGGTTCATCAAATCCTAGTCCTGTACCAAATGGTTATCCAAATTCTGTCAGTCAGTTCGCTCAACAACAACAGCAACAACAACAAAATCAAGCAGCATCAGCTGCTATTCAACAACAAGGAACCACATCGGCTTATTTCAATCCAATGGCAGCGTTTATGGCAGCAGCAGCAGCAGCTGCAATGCAATACAACAATAATCCGTCACAATTATCAACTGGCATCAATTCATTCACTGAGAATGCATCAACTCGTTCCAATTCAATTCCATTACAATTGAATTCGATTGTTAGTCATCCGACTTTGGCTGTTGCCACTCATCATCATCATCAACAACAGCATAATCCACTTGCAGGAACTAATCATTCATCGTTGTCCAATACAACAGCGTTAGTGTCATTGGCTGCTGGTTGTCCAGCGGCGACTAATCCGTTACAAACGAATTCTATTCCTCAATGTGAGTTTTTTTGGGTTATTGGTGGTTATTGTGTGTGTGTGTGCGTGTGTGTCTTTTTTTTATTAAACCACACGTAGTTAGAGCATTTAAATAGTTATGCGCGCTACACTGTTCGGCCTTTCAAAGCGATGCAGGCGGTTTCTTAACAGGGTTCGTCCGACTTCCGAGCCTTTGACTCGAATGTCAAGTCTTGATTGCAGTGGAGAAACATTGAGAGGTTCAGTAGTATGGTAGCTGGTGACCTTACACCGTTTGCTGAAGATCCTGGAATTTGTTTTTGGACCATTGGTTTCGAAAGAGGGTTTTCCATTTTCCTCAGGTGGATCTTCTGTACTTGTCAACCCGAATAATGCACCAGACATTCGCTTTTCGTCTTTTCATTTTCGCACCACGAGAAGATAGTGAGTAGCACTTTTCTGTCAGTGGGTCTATTAGAATAGCCATGTAAGAGCATATCGAGAGAGAGAGAGAGAGTGGCAGTGAGCGGACTCCTCCTAGGCTCAGCCTCATTTAGAGGCTCTCACCCGTATAACTAGTAAGTAGTCTGTAATAAATCCTGAATATTCTAGATAGTATTTTAATTTCATTTAAAACTAGGAACTCGTTATATCATATTTGAGTTATTTCTTTTTTTTTGAAAAATCTAAATTTAGCATGTTTCATACTTTTTTTCAACGGTAAATGAATATATCCTATCGTTTTTTGTGCTCATTTGTTTCAGTAACATCACTGTTCCCTTTGACCGATGTTGCCCTCTTATCTCCAGCCGCTTTAGCTGCTCTTACACAAGTTGGTACAGGTGGTGGTTTATTAACAGAAGTTGGTGCATCTGGCAATAATGAATTTAATAATACATTTGGCACTGGATTATTAGTTTCAGCTTCACCATCCACAGTATCACCGTCAAGTTTTGCCAGTATGGGTAATGGAACTACTGCTACTACTACTACTAATCAAGGTCAACAGCAACAACACCAACCAGTTTCTATCTCTTCATCTACTGGCAATGGTAGTAGTGTTTCTCTTGGTGCAACAGCCAATCTGTTGATCTCATCACCCGGGATGGTTACTCCAGCTGCTTCTACACCTCCAACTGTTAGTCCAGCTATTTTACCCTCGTCAATAACAAGTGATCCTGCAAGTTTGTATGCAGCTGCTATTGCTTTACAGAATTCAACTGCAGTTGGGCATACGAATGCCAGTGCACTGCAATTTCCTCAGTTACATCCATCGTTCGCAGCAGCTGCTGCTGCCGCTGCAGCCGCGGCTGCAGCTCAATCCATTACACCGTCACCAGCAAACACAGCGTTAAATTCATATTTGACAGAAAATGCAGCACTACAAGCGGCAGCATTAGCTTCTGCTGCTGCAGCTGGTTAGTTTCTATGTTCTATTTTCACATTGGTCCATAACTCTTGTGTATATTTGCATTACGGGGTTGTGAAGATTGTTAAGTTACACATTTTTGAAACCATGAATCGATCAATGTTAGACCACCATTAGAAACCCGGAAGCACTGGACGGCCGTTTCGTCCTGGTATGGGACTCCTCAGCAGTGCGCATCCACGACTCCTGCACCCCGCAGGATTCGAACCCAGGACCTTCGGTATTGTGCGCGCACGCCCTAACCGATAGACCACTGAGCCGGTATCTAACGGTGTTAATGTTTAACTTGATCATATTCACGGAGTTGCGCAACCTCATACACAGTCTTCGGTAGTTACTGTCTACACCCGAACAGGTTGAACTTCACTGGTCACGTCTTCCCACTAGAACTCGGAGAAGATTCCAGGAGTCGTGGATGCGCACTGCTGAGGAGTCCCATACCAGGACGAAACGGCCGTCCAGTGCTTCCAGGTTTCTAATGGTGGTCTAACATTGATCGATTCATGGTTTCAAAAATCTTGTGTATATATCATGATGATTAGTTTATAAATACGATTTTTATATGTAACTTACTCATTATTAGTGTGTAGTGCCTCCACATGTATTCCAGTTCGCTTACATCTAACTTGGTCAAGCCCTTTCGATTAATTTATTTAACCAAGCCATTTGTGTATTGCAACATTTTATATGTACCATTCGTTCTTATTATTATTGTCTGGTTTGTATGATGAGCTCACATGACATGTCCCACTTGTCGTTTGATCTTGTCAACTATTCGTCGCTTTTATTCATGCGTGCCTATTTCGCTTGTTGCATGTCTGTCTTATATTTGTCTGACTATATATGTTCTTAGTCATGCTCTATCTTTAGGAGTTGGCTCATTAGCCTTCTCCAACGCGCTTCACCTGTTCATTCGCTTCCTTCGCCCATTCGTTTCGTACGCTTTGTTTGCCGCTCTTCAACTTCGCTTTGTGGTATGTCCAAAAATAAACGTATCCGATACTTCGAATTCATCTTATGATTTATAACCGTCAGACGCTACTTTGTAACGATTGTCTAGATGAGCTAATTACGAAACGTAAGAACACACCGAAGTTGGACCCCACAAGTACATGTAGTATCATTATTATTATTATTGTTACTATTTTGGTGAATTCTACTCACAAAATAAAATGGCTTATGAGTAGTAGTATACAGCAGTGTCGCCTAGAAAATGTTACAGCGGAGAGAAGTGTCTTAGATGGGGGAATGCTTAGCACGATTGAAATTTTTCGAAGACTAGAAGATAATATGAAGGAAGGCAGTCAATAATCTTTTTGATGTTTGCAAATGACAGTCTGCAGGTTAGGTCTAAGGTATTTTGTCAATAAAACTGTGTCTTCTCTTCATATATCACACTGATTCCATCTGGTCGTAACTTCTTTGTACTTTGGTTGCTATGACTATAATTATCGAATTAGTTGGAATCCAGTTTGTGAAAGCTTACTTACTTACGCCTGTTACCCCCAATGGAGTATAGACCGCCGACCAGTTTTCCCTAACCTATTCTGTCCTCGGCCTAAATTTCCGATTCCGTCCAATTTTGGTTCATTCTTCTCATGTCTGTCTATATTTCTCGGCGTAATGTGTTCTTTGGCCTTTCTCTTTACCTTTGACTTTGAGGGTTTCAAGATAGAGCTTGTCTTGTGACGCTGTGGGTGGGATGATTTCCTCAATCTGTCCTATCCACTTCCACCGCTTCTTCTTCCTGATTTCCTTCTCCACTGGAATCTGGATTGTTCTTCCTCACTGTGTCTAGTTTAACAGATCCGAAGTATTTTGCAAGGATAGCTGTTAATAAACATGCGTATCTTCTGGATAATGAATTTGGTAGTTTTCCAAGTTTCCGCCTCATACAATAGAACTGTCCTGAAATTTGTGTTGAAGATTGTGGTTGGTTGGGCTGTAGAATTTATTTAACAACTCGGTTGTACTTTTGAATCCATGTTCCATAGGGTATGGCTGAATATGGTACAATAGTACCACTATCTGTGTTTTTGACTGAACATAGTACATATGTACGTTGGCGACTCCTGCTACTCGCACGACTCAAACCCAGGACCTTCGACCTTGTGCTCGAATGCCTAACCTCTAGACCACTGAGCAGGTATCTGACGGCGGTATTGTCTAAATTTGAACAATCCACGGTCTTACACAACCTCACCCATTGTCTTCGGTAGTTACTTTTGGAGACATTACATCCCCGGAACTCACTTGATAAAGGTTTAGTTGATTACAATATGTGGTTAGCAGAAAGACATTCATAATGTCTGGTTTTTAAGTAGTTTGAACTTTTAAGCATTAGTACTAGCAGAGAGAGATGGATAGTAGTTGGCAGTGGAATCGTCCTGTTTTTTAAATACTCATCATCTCTGCATTGTACCTTACATCTCACACTCTAACACTGGAACTTAATACTATCTTGTTGAACTGTTGAACTGTTAGTCACTAATGCTTCTAACCTAATGACAATATTGAGGTACATTCTACACAGGCTGAACAGATGTCAAATGAAAATGATTTAACGACCGTTTTGTTTGTTTTTTACTTTCGTGTTTTGTTGTTGTTGTTAATTTTATTTCTGTTTTTTTTCTGTTTTGTTTTTCATTTGTTACAGCTTCTGGTCAAACATTTACCAATGATCCGGTTGTTCATCAACTCTATGCTGGTCTTCAAGCTTATGGTTTAGGTAAGTGTTTTGATTCATTTACTTACTGATTTATGTGAGTGTGTGTGTGAGTGTGCACACATGGATGACAACTATTTCATTCTTATCAGGAAGAGCGATCTAACAATCATATTAAGTTGTCTATATCATTGGATTTTTATGACACAACTTTTTGACGAGCACTGATTATTAACTGCCTCATATGGATAAAGAGGTTTTGCTCTGTTCCCTTTAAGTTCCTTCAAAAAAGCAAGTGTACATCTAGTCACTTGTGTGTTATATTGTTGACCACTAAACATGGTCACTAAAAGTAGAAAATATTTTTTTTGGAGGTTACTAGTATTTTTTTATTATTGATGACTTTCTTCAAGGCATTAATGGTGTATAAACCTTAGGTTATAAGCACAGTCTACTAACAGTTGGTTTGAGCTGTGTAAATCACATGTAGATGGATACTTGTCTTGAAGTGTATCTTCATATGGGTATGAGGGCGGATGCTACACCGTAAGAATGGCTCTGGTTGTCAATAGGCGCAAGAACTCTTCCCTCATCATGAGACGTTATAACTATCTTCGAAATGAAGACCTTCTAACTATCAGAGTGGAGTTTAAATGGTTTGAATAATTATTGGCCCGAAATTTGACTTTAGTTTAGATGAATGACTGAATGTACTACTATGAAATAAATCTTCCCTTCAATTTTCGTATATACCATCATTCTCTGTGGAATCCCGTTTGTGAGACAGCGGTAATTACGAGTCCGATACGGCTGGTATTTGAATAAATTCACTTCATACGTTCGTGTAAACAAGACAGACAATGGAATTCTAAGTTAAATGGGGAAGGCGACTTGAGCTGCCTGAATCCTGTGAGTAGAAAGAAGTCGTGGATGCGCATTACTACTGATAAGTTTCCTACCCGACCGAAACGGCTCCATCTTTCAGTGCTTCCATGTATTCTAATGGTTGTCTGTCTGAAAAAATGATCGATTCATGATTTCAATGTGTGTATAGAAAACACTCTAATTGAACACAATGCTTTGTTGTTGTTTTAAGAAAAAAGACACTCTTAGTCACTTAAAAACGAAAACATTACATTGAACAGCACTCTATTTGCACACCATCTTTGAGTCGTGACTTCCAACGTTCCATCCTTTTTCCATTCCTGTTGTTGTTTCCTTTCCTTCCTGCTGGTACTCCATTTACTTCTTCTTGATTTTTCTCCATTTACTTTCCGTTTTCCTCTTGTGACCGTGCAACTTCTTCTTTCACGTCCCTTCTTATACTACTTATATTGTTCGTATAAGTAGCACACAGAACAGTAGGGCTGTATATGATTCATTTGATATTTAGAATTCATTTTGATATATTTTCTTTTTTTATCAACCTAACCTTTCAGCTTATCCTACAGCAGGAACAGCAGCATATACAACTTTTCCTAATTTACATCATCAAGCATTATCAATGCCTGTTCAACAGAAAGAAGGTACTAGAGAATTGATATTGACAGGTAATTTTGATAATAATTATTCAGTAGTAGTATTGAATTCCGGTTTAATTGTTTGTTTTATTTTTTATTTGATCCTTCATTACTACTACTGTGGTGCGAGCTACTTGTAAGTAGTATATGACGTGAGTGTAAACGTAATGTCTGGCAGCAGCAGATGGGAGAAGATCAAGAAAGGAAGAAGAGTGGGAACACAATGGAATTTGTATGAAATGCATGAATAGTAGTGACAATGGATTGATGTTTTGCAACAGAAACAGTCCAGTTCGATATGATGATGAACTGATCTTTTGCAAATTAACGAACGATTTACGATATGGTTTTCCGATTTTATTACTGAGTAACTCTGTAATTTTCATTAAATACAATCCGGTTGCCCCACCTGTGTTCTCGTTCACTACACTACTACTCGACGAGCTATGTTTTGAGGTGTCGGAGGAGTCGGTTGGAACAAAGTTAGGGCTGGTCGAACCAAAACATCCATGAAGTCACTGATAAGTGGGCTGAGTCATTTCGGTAGGAGCGAGTAAAAAACCTTTAAATATTTGGGCAGCATCGTTCATATATACAAGGTGGATATGATCGAGATGTTTTTCGAAGCATTGCTCGTATACCGTGGGACAACTGAGTAAGCAATGCTATAGTTAGAGATTGAGTACTTGGTAAGTATGGTAGATCAAACTTCATCAGTTGAGGTGGTTGGGACATGTGTTACGTATGCACAACCACTGACTACCCCGACGAGTTATGTTTTGTGATGTAGAAGGAGTAGGTTGGAAGAAAGCTAGGGGGGCCAAACAAAAACATGGCAGGAATCCATGAAATCACTGACAAATGGACTGAATCATGTTGGTAGATGTAGGCTATCTGGTTGGGGTCCGCGAGACTAATGTCACCGATAGTTAGAGACTTTGAACGACATGGCTCAGAATCGTTTGCATTCACTGTTTGTGTTCTCTGAAATTCTAATCTTCAGAATTCCTCATCATCTATATCTTTGTCTTTCTAAATTTACCTCACTGAATTATACTTCTTGAATAACATCTGCTAACTCGAATCTTCTCCATTACTACTACCACTATGGGATTTTTGAACTGACAGTTGCGTCTCTGTGCTAATGTGAACTGATCTACATACGTCCGAAGTTCTACACTTGTAACTGACTGACTGACTAACTGTCTTTGTATGAAGAGATATCTTATTATTATTTATTGTTTGTTAAATCAAAATTTTCTTTCCTTACAGGTCCAGAAGGTTGTAATTTGTTCATTTATCATTTACCACAAGAATTTGGCGATAATGAATTAGCTCAAATGTTTATGCCATTCGGTACAGTGATCAGTGCTAAAGTTTATGTTGATCGAGCTACTAATCAAAGTAAATGTTTCGGTAAGTGTAGTGTTATGATTATTATTATTATTATTATTATTACTATTATTATTGATGTATGTATTATTGCGCTCAGTTATATTTGGCCTTTTTGTCCTCGTATGAGACTCATTATAGCAGAGCGCATCAACGACCCCTGCTCGCGGGAATTGAGCGTTAGGACCTACGGTCTTGCACGCGAACCCTTAATCTCTAAATGTCTGCTTTACGAACATGATATTACTATTGGATATGAGCAATCCTTTCGAGACAACTATGATTTAATGCACAAAGAGTCACCAAACATCATCAATCCCGAGAGGTCAGATATTACAAGCACAGAGAAAAAATTATAGACCTGAGCTTTTTACCGCTAAACCAACGTAATCGCCAAAGATGACTCGATTAGCAGCAAAAGCCACTCTGGGTTGTGATACACAAATAAATTGATGTCATTGCCCACTCGACCATCAGAATTTTCGGACTACTTAGAGTTCATGCATGTCTATACTGTTCAGTGAGTTGATAATTATCCATGGATCTCAGGTGACTTTCTGAGGTTGCCAATCCCCAAACTTTTTGACTTGCTGGTCTTCTCTTAATTTCTTAAATAACAACCTGTCGGTGTGTATACACAGTCAGTAAGTAGGTCTTCTCTGTCAACGGTTATATACACCCCTGACCATAAGAAAACATTTTGTGAGACAGAAATGACCGAGAGTAAGCTATGTCCATATATATACATGTTACGTAATGATTTCATAAAATTTCTCATATTACATCTCATAAACTGATTTTTAAAAAATACACACTGCTTTCTTTGATTTTTTTTAAATAATATCTGTTCATGTTCTACAGGTTTTGTCAGTTTTGATAATCATACAAGCGCTCAAAATGCAATACAAGCAATGAATGGTTTTCAAATCGGTATGAAACGTTTGAAAGTTCAATTGAAACGTCCTAAAGGTTAGTTGTGTGTGTGTGTGTTTTCATTTTTTTTCATGATCGTCTACAACCTATGAATGATCATCATTATGTTGTGAAAGCATTTTTTTTTAACGTTTCACACAACAACTACTCAGTTTGTTTTTCAGTAGTAAATTTTGTTTTTGTTATTATTTTCTATATTGAAAAACAAATCCTTTCATTTCAAAAACTTCATCTGATTACACACATGTCAATCAATCCGTCTAATATTATTGTGTATATGTATATGCCTTGTTAGGCGGTAACACGTCATCGACCTCATCATCGTCCAATACGAAATCGTCGTGTGATACTACTACTACTGCTACCACTGCTACTACTACACATACGCATACTGGTGGTGGAGGACAAGGACAAGACGCTGATCTAATTGTTCCTTCACAGGACTCCATATACTCTGAGGTAAATCATTAAGTCAACATACAAGCAAAAACAAACAAATAAACATTGAAGCACGTTTACACACACCTACACACACACATACGCTGAGCTAATTGTCCATTGGTTCTATGTGTTCTATGATCTAATCGTTCGTGTTCTCTCTCGGCTGAGGCTCTGAATGTGCGTGTGTGTGTGTATATTTGTCTATGTGTATGTGGCTATTAATTGTATTCAATTGTATGTCAACATATATATATATATATATTTATAAATGTTGCCCAATTCAATTCAATCAGGCTATCATGTCAGTGTATCTATCAATCTATACAATCACCGTCTGTCTGTCTATCTATCTATCTCTCCATATATGTCCATCCCATCTGTGTCCACCTATCTAACTTGATGTGTTTGTCAATGTTAAATAATTTAATAAGTAAATAAATTTTTTTCAAATCGCTCAATTCTCTTCCAGTAGCAGTAGTAGTAGTAATAGTAGTTGTTGTTGTTGTGTAGCATTCATCATCTCATCTAGATTGATTTCGTTAATTTGTTTACATGATATTTACTTGATATGATTTTTGAGTGAATGACCGTACTAACTAGTGTGATATTCTAAATGAGTAGTGCGAGATGATATAAACATGCTTGCTATGTGACTTAAATTTGTGTACACAAACAAAAGTACTATTGTTTGCATGTTGTTGTAACAGTTCTGTGTGGATGTATGTATGTATGTTCATCTTAACATCTCCTTGATATATAATATATATACACTTGGAATTGTAACTAGTCAGTGTGTGTAACTAAATGTTTTTTACATTTATTTCATCTGTGGTATGACGAAGCTTCAATTCAATGTTAGTAACTATGTAAGCATCATTATTAGACTATCATTGAAAACTTGGAAGCATTGGGAGACGGTCGTTTCATATTGGTATGGTACTAGTCATCAGTGGCATTGCGCATCCATGACTCCTACTAGTAGTAGCACAATTCGAACCTAGGAACTTCGGTGCACGGCGTGCACGAACGCCTAACCTCTGGACCACTGAGACGACATCTAACTTTGATCAATTTGAAGATCTAACCATCCGATTAGTTAGTGTGTTTGAACACATCAGTTTGCGTACGTAGTAATTAAAATTACATGTAATTGTATATTGGGTGCTTGTCTGATTGCTCAGATATCAATGTAGGTAGTTTATTTTCGAAGGGGCTCACTTACGGAGTCGTTAACCTGAAGGTTTAATCGACACACAAGTCAACAATGCAGCGTTAATTAGGATAGGCATTCAATCTCATGGTAGTTGGTGACCAACACTTAGCTGCATACGCCATTTATTCCATTTGGATTGTAGAACCTAGGTGTATCATTGATTTGAAATCAAGGATTTCCAACTGTTGATAGTTAGTTAGTTAGTTAGTCAGTTATCCCTTTTTTCCATATTTGTTCAATATAGTCATATTGTAGTGAAGGAGAACACAGGTGGGGCAACCGAATTGTATTTAACGAAAATTACAGAGTTACTCAGTAATAAAGTAGGAAAACCATATCGTAAATCGTTCGTTAATTTGCAAAATATCAGTTCATCATATCGAACTGGACTGTTCCTGTTGCAAAACCTCAATCCATTGTCACTACTATTCATGCGTTTCATACAAATTCCATTGTGTTCTTCTAACTTCCTTTCTTGATCTTCCCCCATAATATGCTGCCAAACATTACGTTGACACTCACGTCATATACTACTTATAAGTAGCTCACACCACAATATTCATTTTTTTGATAAATATTTATCTATCTATCTATCTATCTATCTATATGCAACCAAAATATTGTTTGTACAATAGTGTTTATGATAATACATATGGGACTGTTTTGAACGATTGAAAACCAGTGTGTATAAAACTCTCCCGCCTGCCCTTTCCCACATAGACTGATTACCACTAGAATTGACTAATTTTCTGCTTTGTCTTTTTTGTCAATGGAAAATCACAAAATGTAGAGTCTTCTCACTACCTTAAGCAACAGTGCGAGCATATTCGTGATGCGATTCTCTCTGTCACAATGCAAAATGTTGCTTCACGATTGGCTTGCGACAGCACCTGAACTAGTGATAGGGAGTGAAGTAGTTGAGGGTGTAGACCATTTCACTTATCTCGGGAGACTCATCAGTGCTGATGGCCTGGTGACTGACGAAATCTCAGCACGGATACAGAAAGCTCGATTGGCTTTTGCCAACTTGCGTTACTTATGGCATAGACGAGATATCGGTCTGCTAATCAAAGGACGAGTGTGCTGCACAGAAGTTCGCTCTGTCCTACTATATACTTTGCAACGGAGTGAATAAAAAATCGTATCAATGTTACGAAAAAGTGAAATAAATTTGAAGAAACATGTATTGTATAATCCTGTGACATTTGGACACGCATACACACACCTTTCGCCCTGTTTATACAAGTTTAATCAGTCAATATAGTGTACACACTGTCAAGTCATATAAACTCGTTGCCGCATTGCTTTTTGATCCTGTTATGCTCGTCAATTGAAAATGCTTGAATGCTATTACGAGTTCACCTTAGACGTCGGTAAACGAGAGCGAAGACAAATCATCCAGTGATACAATAGGCTACTCTAATCCGAACGTCCGAGCGTGGAGAGTGTATTCTACAAGCGCCCAGAAAATATGAGTTTAACAAACACATGACAGAAATGTCCTTGGAAGAGCCACATAAATAGAATACTAAAATAATACATCAACCAATAACAGCCAATGATTTTCCTGGTAGAAAATCTGACCTCAAGGTCAAATGATCGGCGCATGTGCGTAAAGAAAACATCTAAAATTAGGACATTTTCCAAGTGAGTTTTGGGGATCTAATGTCCCCAACATTAATCCAGAGGGGGCTGTATGTATGTATGTGTGTGGTAATCATTCTCTTCACTAAAATTATTCATCCATCCAATGCCCATATGTTCATCATGTGAACTTGAAGATCATTTTCTTTGCTTATCATAGAAAAATCTCTTACATGACAATATTGATTTGAATCATATTGATTTTTGTTACTTCACTGCGTACTACTTACTACTTGTGTACTACAACGTCCCATTGTTTAACTTTGTTGCATGTTTCACTCATTTTTCTTAGTCTCTTCATTTCGTTATTTGTGTCTGCATGCTTCCTTTCAACTTGTCATTCATTTGTTTGTTTATATATGTCATTTAAATAATCATGGTGCGATGCATCTATCTGTTGTTGTTGTTGTTGTTGTTGTATCGGTGTTAGCGATCTGGTTGATTATGGTGACAATGTAAACATGGGATAAAATTATTATTATCATTGTGTTTTTGTATTCAATATATATATACTGAGGCTTACATAATTGTTGGTTGTCATTTTACTCAATACTACTACTACTACTACTACTACTAATATTACTACTGTGGTGTGCGCTACTTATAAGTAGTATATGACGCGAGTGGAAATGTAATGTCTGGCAGCAGAAGATGAGGGAAGATCAAGAAGAAAGGAAGAGTGGGAACACAATGGAATTTGTATGAAACGCATGAACAGTGAAATGTCAGACAATGTATCCGATTTTACTGATTAACTCTGTAATTTGCGATAAATACAATTCGGTCGTCCTCACCTGTGTTCTCCTTCACTACATTTGGTGTCGCTGCCTACACAAAGGATGAAGATTCCGTGGCCGAAGGAGTTTGAGGCCGTGGCGGAGCTGGTGGGTGTGAAGGAGCCGAGGGCGAAGTTGGTGGTGCTGGGGACGCTGCTGAGAGGTAGGGAAAAGGCCGTATATGACAGCTTGGACGGTGCTGGCGGGGAGACGACGTGGCTGATGACGGCGTTCGACAGCCCAGTGGACAGGGAGAAAGCGGTGCAGGAGTTCCGGTTCACTAGGCTGTCGGCTGATGGTGACCCGCTGGTGCTTGCTGTGGAGCTCACCAGACTGTTGCTCCGTGCGCTGCCGAATATCGATGAGGAGTCGGAGGCACAGTTGTTGACGTCGCAGTTTATCGAGAGTGTGCCTGCCGCCTTGTCCCAGACTAGTAAACGCAGCGCGACCTATGGATATCGGTGAACTGGCGAAGGTGACTCGTCAGCTGATGACACGAACAGTAGCTCCGGTCGGGCGCGGAAAGCAGGAGATAAATACTGTTGAGAAGAAGATTGAGGAGCTGGAGCGTATGGTTGCATCATTACGAGTGGATCATAAAAGGAACGATAAATGTTACGTTTGTGGAGGGGCAAGACATGGGAAGATAAACTGTCCAAGAAGACGACGACGACGATATTTTAAACATTATAACGTGTTTTCTTTCCACCCTAGGAATCGGGAGGTCCTTGCACTAGTAGATAGAGGGGCAATTTATGCCAGAGTGTACATAAATGAACAGGAGTTAGTGTGTTTGATTGATACAGGGGCAGCTATATCGTTAATAAGCAAAGAACAATGTAAGACAATTAAACCATGTACATTAGCTGTCCACACCATAGGAGGGCATATGCTAAAGGTGTTGGAGGTATCTAACAGTATTGTAAAAATGAGTGGAGCTGAGATAAATTTTCCGTTCGTGGTAACCACAAGCTTATCGAGACCGATATTAGGAGCAGATTTCCTAAGAGAGGTAAAAGCGAAAATTACAGAGTTAATCAGTAAAATCTTGAAAACCATATCGTGTAAACGGTTAATTTGCAAATCTTCAATCCATCATCATCTCCATTGTCTGACATTTCACTTATTCATACAAATTCCATTGTGTTCCCACTCTTCCTTTCTTGATCTTCCCCCATCTTCTGCTGCCAGACATTACGTTTACACTTGCGTCATATACTACTTATAAGTAGCGCGCACCACACTACTACTACTCACTATTATATATATAAATATATAGATGTTGCGTTCACAATCATAATAGTTATAATAATCACTTTGTGTGCTTATTATTGTGTTTTCGCTCTCTCTCTCTCTCACACACACACATTCACTTGTTTTTTTCCTTTAATTATTTTTTTTTAGATAATCGTAAACCCTACTGAAACAGTCTCGATGGCTCCGGTACCTGCTTTATGAAGGTGTGTACACTAAGTGTCGTTTGGTCTCTTCATCGCTCTCTCCTCTCTTTTTCGTTTATTCCTTCAAAAACTATTAGCACCGACAAACAGTGCAGTACAGATCAAATAAACAATGGCTTTTTTTCTTTTTTTTTCACACACTTTCTCCCTCCCCCCTTTCCATCTTGCTGGTTAGTTATCATGTGTGTGTATGAGATGTGGGTGTGTTTGTGTGTAGTTCAAATTTCTCTTTCCCGACAATTGAATTTTTCTTTGTTTTTCTATCTACACCTCGTAAAAAGCAGATACACACATTTGTCTCTCTCTCTCTTTGGCTCTCTCGCTCGCTCGCTCTCTTTTTGACTCATCCTCTTCACCGACACAATCCTAATGTATCATTATGATTATGATTCTTATAATTATTATTATCTCGGTTGCTTTGATGTTGTTCTGTCGTCCGCTCGCTCGCTCATTGGCTCACTCACTCCCTGACTCTCTCTCGATTTGATCAATCACTTCAAACTAATCAATAAATCAGTAAATGACACTTTTTTTTCTATGAGAAACACACAAACAAACACCGGAATTGTTAGTTAGTTAGTTAGTTAGAAGACGGACGATCAAGTAAAATGAATTTCAGAATAATTCTGTTCACACAGACACACAGACACAGACACATGTGTGTTGAATGTGTTTATATTATTATACACACAAATATTATCTATTTCTCTGTTTATTCAAATATGACATGGTATGAAATTTTTCTTATTATATATATATTTATATAAAACATGATGAAAATTACAAATTTTTTTAAAAAAAAATTCTTATTATGCTTACTAATAATCTTTTGTTTCGTTTTTTTTACTGTGTCATGTGTGTGACCATTGTGTTGTTGTTGTTGTGGTTGTGGTTGTTGCGGCGGCGGCGGTGACTGTTTTATCCGTCGTCACCAAAAAAAAAAAACGATGATGCAGTTCTTCCTCGTTGTTTTGTACTTGTTGTATGTGTTTTGTCTTGATGATGATTGGTGGTTTGTTTGTCTTGTTCATTCTACTAATCACCATACTTGATTATCTCTTTACTTCTGATTTTGTGTGTACTTCAATGTTTACTGCAACATGCACAGACACACACACATACACAGAGGCAGTGAGGGAGACATGCACACAGTGCAACAAAACACACCATTGTTCTACATACATACACACCATGAATGATTTGTTTTTTCTTTCTCTAAAAATAGATATTATTATTAAGATGATGGTGATGATGATGATGTTGCTTAATGAGCGGTGTTGTTGTTGTTGTTAGTGTCAACTTGGAACAACTATCATCACTAACAACTGCGTGCACTGTTGAGTATTTCTTTTTTTTTTAAAAAAAAATCATAATCAATCATGATGAAGTCATTATTATTATTATATTTTCTTTTGCATATGCCGCCTATTTTTTTTTTGTTTTTGCAAAAAAAACATTCACCTCAAAAATGAACTAAAACTGAATCATTCCGCACACACACACTCCTGACGTTTGTCGTTGTAAGGTGGTCGATGTGCATTTTTTTCCCCTTCTTTCTTCCTCTTCGTCTTCTTCTTCTTTAAACATTTTTCACACACACACTGTCGCCCCCCCCTTCATACTTGCACTTACATAGAATAGTACACATCATATTTACAATTTTTTTTTATACGTGAGGGGCGCGTCTCGACTATGTGTACACATCCATCCACCCATCCATCCATCCATCGATTTATCGATCCGGTTGCATTAGCGATCTGCAAAATAATAATAATATTTTTTTCAAATTTCATGAACACTTACTTATTAAGTTAACTATGATAATTATGATTATTTTATGAATGATTGAATGAGTAAAAAAACTAGATTCTTCTTGTGTATTTTTTTTCTGTGTGACACCATTTTGTTTTCTTTTGACGAACATTTGTGTTGTTATACGCCTTGATGATACAAGAATATTCTCTCTCTCAGACACACACACACACACACTGTCTGTCTATCTATCTATCTATCGATCGATCGATCGATCTGACGAAATACATATACATATTTTTTTTACACTTACACTTAACATTCCTTAGTCTTAGTTTATTATCAAATGAAAATTATGATGTTGATGATTATTTTTTGCAATGTGTGTACGTGTGTGTGTGTGTCTGAAAGAGAGATTGATCCTATGTTGATTGTTGTAACACACTGCCATTGCTCCACGCATCGATTATTTGTGACTTGTTTCAGTGGTTGAGGTTGTGGTTTGTGTGTACTGGTGAAGATAGAGTTTATTCGACTGTCAGTAAACAAAAAAAACCATAGACATATTTATATATACATACACATATATATTCCTCTTATTTTTCTACATCACACTATATAATATAAACTTGATAAGTCAAGTGTTGTTTCTCTCTTCTGTTTTTTTCATATTTGACCTCCTCCACCGATAGATAACATTCTGAGCTGTTTTAATCTTCTGTATTTTGATGACATACACGTGTACACACACACATATATAAATTGCGTAATTTCAATTCAAAGCACTCATTGTGTGTGGCACAGAGCACAGAGCAGCACTACAGTGGAAACAAGCTGATTGAATGCATTTAGACTTATTCTGATTAGTACTGTTATTATTATTATTATTATTGATTTTTTTTGAAAAATAAACGAACTCTATTCTCTCTCTCTCTCTATCCGTTCTATTGTTGTCGCTGGTGTTGTCGTCGACGAGACCACATGGACATTCATCGATGCCTATTCATCATTTCCTGTTATTATTATTATTATTATTATTATTATCATCATTTTTTTCTTGTTTCTCAATAATAATGCGATTACACAGTGTAAATGTGTGTGTGTGTGTGTGCGGTTGAATTATGCGCTTGAAATATGACAGTTCTATGTGGATTGTTCGAATCTGTACACTGAACGACAACCAAATGTTGGTCGTTGCTGATGATGTTGATGATTCTGGAGGTGTGTTTCTATTTACACGCACACACACACACACACACACTATGGATATCGATGTAGAAATAAGAGAGAGTTTTTCTTTTCACATATACACAGTTTCCTGTCATTCTCCTTCTCACCTTTCCGAAGTGTTTTTTCTTTCATTTTCCACTGTTTCTCTCTCTGTCTGTGTGTCTGTCTATCTGTCTGTCTGCCTGTCACTCAATCAATCTTACTAACTATCATGATCACAAGTATGTTGTACTAGGAGGTGTACAATGTGTTATGTTAGAATATTTATTATATATGCCTCTTACAATTGTTTTTTTTTTTAAAAAAAATTACGTTACATTTCTATGAGTATGTTGAATGCACTTTTCAATATACTACATATATATACATATACAAGCGTACATTCACACACACATACACACATTGAGAGAAGTACATTTTCTCCCCCCCCCAAAAAAAAACAATCACGTTCAAATAGAAAAAAACACTGTACGTGATATAATGTTTATGAAATAATAAACTAACTAATCACTAATTATGACTATGAATACTACTAATAATAATGATAATAATAACGATAATAATAATAATAATAATACTAACATTTCTTTAATAATGTGTGTGTTCTGTCTTTTTTTTCCCTCATTGATCATTAAAAAAAAACCAACGAGGCGGGTTGTGTGTGTGTGTGTGTGTGGTTAGGGTTGAAATTGTTGTGACAATTGTGAGTAGTGTTTTCTATCTATAAAAGGAAGTTCTTGTGTTTCAACCATACCACATTAGCACAGTGAGATGGAATTGTCAATTCAAATCCGATAGTAGAAGAGGTAGTAAAGGTATTGGAAGTAAAATCGGAGAGATTAGGGTTCGAAGATATTATTTATTAATCAAGAAGTGTAATTCAGTGAAAAAAACAACTTTAGAAGATCAAGTGATCAGGAATTCAGAAGATTAGAATTTGAGAGAACACAAAGAATGAATGTACCTGCGCTAATGCAAACGATTTTGAGCCATGTCGTTCAAAGTCTCTAACCGTCGAATACTAACACCTCGCTGGCCCCAACCCTGTAGTTGACACCTACCAACATGAATCAGTCCAGTTGTCAGTGACTTCATGGATTGCTGACATGTTTTGGTTTGGCCGCCCCTAGCTTTCGTCCAACCTATTCCTACATCGCGAAACATAGCTCGTCGAGGCAGTTGGTTGTTAGGTTTATGTGACACATGTCTCAACCACCTCAACTGATAAAGCTTCAGTACTTCATCTATTGACGTGCCATCCTTAACTAGCACCCCTTTCTTTACAGCAGCATTGCTTACTCCATTGTCCCACGATACTCGAGCAATGCTTTGGAGGCACCTCCGATCGAAAAGCAGTAACCTACGAATATCTTCTACTCTCACTGACCATGTTTCACAGCTGTATAGTAGGACTGAGCGAACTACTGTACAGTACACTCGTCCTACTGTTAGCAAACGGATATCTCGCCTGCGCAATAAGTGATGCAGGTTGATAAAAGCCAATCGAGCCTTCTATATCCGTGCTGAGATTTCGTCAGTCACCGTGCCATCGGCACTGATGAGACTCGCCAGATAGGTGAAGCGGTAAACATGCTCAACTACTTCGCTCCCTATTACTAGTTCAGGTGCCAGCACATGCCAATCATGATGTATAATTTTGCATTTCTATGTGGAGGATCGCATTCCAAACATGCTTACATTGTTGCTGAGGGTAGTCATTAGACACTGCATTTTGTCATCGTCTTCACCGAAAAGAACTATATTCTAAGTCAAGATGTGATTTTTCTGGTGGGAGGTCTAATCCTGAAAATTCAGACGGGGATAAGGTTATTTCTAGGAGCATGTCTATGACAAAATTAAACAAGAATGGAGAAAGTGGTGATCCCTGAAGGATATGTCAAGGATAATTAGTGTTGCAGAACACTTTTCTGTTCGTAACCCATTTCAGATTAAGAATACCTGAAGCCAATTTAAACTAAAAAAAATTAGAAAATAGGCTGAATCTAAAGTATATATGAACGATGGTTGGAATGTTGAAGACTGAGTGAACTAAGCTTGTTAGGCATACGTATCGGTGATCCAGGATGGCTGAGTGATCGAGTATCTTCAGCTAGAATATGTTCAGTAAAACTACTGAAGTCAATATTAGGGTCAAAGACTGACGAAACTATTTATCTTGACGATTTATTTAACAGTACTAATTCGACCCCCATTCTGCTTTATCTGTGTATTGGCTCACACAGTTAGTTGATAAAATTAAATGCTAAAATTCACAATTTACAAATGATCTACAGTAATATCACGAAGCATCGAATAGTCAGTCAAC